CGGCATCGTCATCATCACCATGACCATCACCATCATCACAATCGTCATCATCACCACCATCAGCAGCAACATCGTCATCACCATCGTGATCATCGCCATCGTCGTCATCATCGTCAATATCGTCACCTGAATTATCAACATAATCATCCTCATCATCGCCATCGTCATCATTATCGTCGTCGTCGTGATCGTCGTCATTGTTATCGTCATCATCATCGTCATCATCTTCATCATCCGCAAAATCCTGCATCACAAGCACCATAAACAGCATCGCCACCATTATTGTCAGCATCGGCGTTATCATCCTGACCATAAGCAGCATCATCATAATGGTCGTCAGCATCACCATCCTCAACGGCATCACCGTCATCGTCATCATGCTCGTCAGCATCACCACCATCATCATCACCATCACTCACATCACGATCACCATCATCAACATCATCATCATCATCATCATCATCATCATCATCATCATCATCATCATCATCATCATCATCATCAGCATCATCATCTTCATCATCCCCACTGTCAACATCATCATCATAATCTTCTTCTTCATCATCATCATCAGCATCATCATCGTCGTCGTCAACTTCATAATAGTCGTCATCATCGTCATCATTTTCGTCACCGTCGTCTCCGAAGCTCCCCCGCCGAACTCGAGGATATCTCCGCAGCGTCTTGCATGCCGCGTGAGCAGTATTGGGGATTTAGGTTGTGGGCCTGAGGCCGCCCTGCATAATCATCATTGTCATTATCACCAGAGTCTGGAAGCCTTGCGGGGCCCTTTCGGCGCCTTTTGGAGGCCTCTTGGAGCTTCCTGGGGGCCTCTCGAGGCCTCTTGCGGACTCCTGGGGGCCTCTTGGGAGCTTCTGGTGGGCGAGGGCTCGAAATGTCAGTTCGTGTTCCCCATCTGGGGCTCCTCTTGGAGTGTTCTGGGAGCTCTTTTGGGCCGTCTTGGAAGCTTCCTGGGCCGTCTTGGGGCCCTCTTGGGCTGTCTCGGTGGTCTCTTGGGGGCCTCTGGGCTCGTCTTGAGGCGATCTTTCGGGCCTCTTGGGCCGCCTTGGAGCGTCTGGAAGCCGAACTGGGGAGAACGCCAAAACCCTTCAAAACCCACTAAAAATCAATGACAATTTCCTATTGGGCCCCTCCCGAGAGTGCTGTCGGAGACCTGCTGGGACGCTTTGGCAGCTTTTTAACCGTCTTGGAGTGCTCCCGGGCCGCTTCGGACCTCTCTTGGGCTGTCCTGAGGGCGTCCTGGAGCCATTTTAGAGGGTCCTGGGAGCGTCCTGGCGTCTCCGGCGGGGGGGTGACCACAGCCACTGGGCAAAGTGAGACCCCCCCCAGGACCCCCTCCCCATTATATACATATATTATATATATATATATATATACACATGCATGCATGCATGCATGCATGCATGCATGCATATGCATATATATACATACATACATACACAGACAGACAGACAGACAGACCAGACAGACAGACAGACAGACAGACATACATGCATACCTACCTACTACCTACCTACCTACCTACCTACCTACCTACATACATACATACATACATACATACATACGTGCATGCATGCATGCATACATATATACATACATACATACATACATACATACACACACATGCATGCATGCATGCATGCATGCATGCATGCATGCATATACATACATACACATACATACATATACATACATACATACATACATGCATGCATGCATGCATGCATGCATGCATGCATGCATGCATGCATGCATGCATACATACATACATACATACATACATACAGACACATCCATCCATCCATCCATCCATCCATCCATCCATCCATCCATACATACATACATACATACATACATACATACATTTACACACTCACACACACACACACATATATATAAACATACGTAAAACATGTAGGATTGTGCACACAGGAGAAAGACAATATATAGAAACATACGTACGTCGTCCAAGGCGCCTCGGAAGGCGCAACATACTCCTCCAAGGCGCGGAATCATGTTCCCGGACCGCCTTCCGGGAACATGATGGGGACGACCTCCTGAGGGCCTCCAGTGGGCCTCTTGGGGGCCTCTCGGAGGCCTGTTGGGCTCTCCTGGAGGCGTCTAGGGTTTTGGCCTCATTTTGGCCTCTTGGGGGGGAGGCGCTAATTAAGGGAGCCCCCTTCTTTGAGCCTTTTCGCTTCCGATGGCCATCTGAGGCCTCAAGATGGCTCCAAGATGGCCTGCGAGGGCTCCAAGAGCGCTCCCAAGGTCCCCAAGAGCGCTTCAAGAGGGCCCCAAGAGGCGCCCAGGAGGCCCCAGGAGGCCCCAACAGACGCCCAAGAGGCCTCCAAGAGGCTCCCAAGAGACCCCCAAGACGCCCCAAAAAGCTTTGCGAGGCACGTAAGACGCCCTAAGAGGCGTCCGGGACCGCCAAGAGGCCCCCAAGACGCTCAAGAGGCCTCCACTGGGGGACCCTTCCTCTGTGTGCGGCCCGCTTCCCTGACCGAGGCAAATCCTCTGGGCATCGTTTCTGGATGGGCTGGTGGATTTTACTTTTTTTTTGGTCGCGGCTCCAAGGAAAAGCAGAGGGAGCGGGCACAACGTCCGGGGCGCGGTACATTGTAAATTTACGAATCCTGCCGTCAAGAATTGTCAAAAAAACGCTCCCAAATGGTCAGAGAATGCTAAAACAATCGCCCCCAGACTATTTTTCCCAACCATCCTGTGGTGTTGGGTCCTCGTTTTGAAGAGACGTCGCCCCGCGTTCCTCCTCATCCTACTCCTCCTCCTCCTCCTCCTCTCCTCCTCCTCCCTCCTCCCCCTCCGCGTCAGCCACACCCACTTCGGCACACCCCTCACACGCTTCCTGGCCCCATAGAAGCTCCGCCGAAGGCCCCATTGCTGCCGCCCGCATGCGTCACCCACGCCCAATTCGCCACACCCCTCACACGTTTCGTGGCCCCATAGGAGCTCCGCCGAAGGCCCCAGTGCCGCCGCCCGCATGCGTCACCCACACCCAATTCGGCACACCCCTCACACGTTTCGTGGCCCCATAGGAGCTCTGCCGAAGGCCCCAGTGCTGCCGCCCGCATGCGTCACCCACACCCAATTCGGCACACCCCTCACACGCTTCGTGGCCCCATAGGAGCTCCGCCGAAGGCCCCAGTGCTGCCGCCCGCATGCGTCACCCACACCCAATTCGGCACACCCCTCACACGTTTCGTGGCCCCATAGGAGCTCCGCCGAAGGCCCCAGTGCTGCCGCCCGCATGCGTCACCCACACCCACTTCGGCACACCCCACACGCTTCGGGCCCCATAGCAGCTCCGCCGAAGGCCCAGTGCTGCCGCCCGCATGCGTCACCCACCAATCGGCACACCCTCACACGTTCGTGGCCCCATAGGGAGCTCCGCCGAAGGCCCCAGTGCTGCCGCCCGCATGCGTCACGCACACCAATTCGGCACACCCCTCACACGTTTCGTGGCCCCATAGGGAGCTCCACCGAAGGCCCCAGTGCTGCCGCCCGCATGCGTCACGCACACCCAATTCGGCACACCCCTCACACGTTTCGTGGCCCCATAGGGAGCTCCGCCGAAGGCCCCAGTGCTGCCGCCCGCATGCGTCACGCACACCAATTCGGCACACCCCTCACACGCTTCGTGGCCCCATAGGGAGCTCCGCCGAAGGCCCCAGTGCTGCCGCCCGCATGCGTCACCCACACCCAATTCGGCACACCCCTCACACGTTTCGTGGCCCCAAAGGAGCTCCGCCGAAGGCCCCAGTGCTGCCGCCCGCATGCGTCACCCACACCCAATTCGGCACACCCCTCACACGTTTCGTGGCCCCATCGGGAGCTCCGCCGAACGCCCCAGTGCTGCCGCCCGCATGCGTCACGCACACCCGATTCGGCACATCCCTCACACGTTTCGTGGCCCCAAAGGGAGCTCCGCCGAAGGCCCCAGTGCTGCCGCCCGCATGCGTCACGCACACACATTTCGGCACACCCCTCACACGTTTCGTGGCCCCATAGGGAGCTCCGCCGAAGGCCCCAGTGCTGCCGCCCGCATGCTTCCTGCACACGCATTTCGGCACACCCCTCACGCGTTTCGTGGCCCCATAGGAGCTCCGCCGAAGGTCCCAGTGGGTGTGCCCGCATGCGTCCCGCACACACCCGTTTCGGCACACCCCTCACGCGTTTCGTGGCCCCATAGGAGCTCCACCGAAGGTCCCAGTGGGTGTGCCCGCACGCGTCCCGCACACCCATTTCTGCACACCCCTCACGCGTTTTGTGACCCCTCACACGTTTCGTGGTCCCATAGGGAGCTCCACCGAAGGCCCCAGTGGGTGTGCCCGCATGCGTCCCGCACACCCATTTCGGCACACCCCTCGCACGTTTCGTGGCCCCGTAGGGGGCTCCACCGAAAGTCCCAGTGGGTGTGCCCGCTTGCGTCCCGCACACAGCCGTTTCGGCACACCCCTCACGCGTTTCGTGGCCCCATAGGAGCTCCACCGAAGGTCCCAGTGGGTGTGCCCGCACGCGTCCCGCGCACCCATTTCGGCACACCCCTCACACGCTTCGTGGCCCCATAGGGAGCGCCACCGAAGAAGCTATTCACAACTGCGGTATTCAGAATTGCATATGGTTGGGTCCTTCGCCAGGATAATTTTGACTACTTTTGGATCTCCCTCCTGTAGAGGGACCCAAGCCGCCCGAGGCCCCGCGGCTCCCGCCGCGGGCGCGCTGCGGCTGCTCCGCGCCGTCTCCCCGGCGGCCCGCTGCCGAGTGGCGCGGCGGGGAGCCCTCCTTGATGGGCCCAGTTTCCATCACCACTGCCATAGGCAGGAGAGGGAGGAGGAGGAGGAGGAGGAGGAGGAGGAGGAGGAGGAGGAGGAGGAGGACCTCCTCATCCTCCTGTCTCCCCCTTTCCTACATGTGGTAGTGGTGGCGGAACATTTGCCCATCCTTACCCTGCTGCTCCTTCAAGTCCCCTGCGCGAGTGCGCGAGCCGCTTCCTCTGCCCTTCTTCTCGCGACCCTGATGTCCTTCCGCTGCCTGGCGATCTCCTGCCGGCTCCTCTGCTTGCCGTCCTGCTTCCTCTGCTGTCGGGAGCCTCGCTCGATCAGCTCCCTCGCGCCCCTCGGGCTGCCCGGTGCTGCTTGCGCAGCGCTCCCAGCCTGCTTTGTGCGCGGCCTGGTTGTCTCCTGCGAGCTTCTCCGCCTGGAGCCAGCCTTCTGCCCCGCTGCCCTCTGGATGCCCGCTTCTATCTCCGCGGCGCTCTCTTCCTGCGTAGGGATGTGCTCGCTGCCCACTGCTGTTCGCCCGTCACCCTCTTTCTGAGTGGGAGCCCTCTGGATGCCCACTGCTGTCTGAGCGGCGACCTCTTGCTGCATGGGAGCCCTCTGGATGCCCACCGCGGTCTGCGCGGCACCCTCCTGCATGGGAGCCCTTTGGATGCCCACTGCTGTCTGCGCGGCGGCCTTCGTCGTCTTTTTATTACTATTCCTCTTCGTCTTGCTCGTCATCCTGACTGTGCGATTGACTGTCCCCTCCCACCAATACTTCATTGTGAGTCTGGCGATCACCTTCGCCACCAGCTCGGGATCTTCATACTGGGGCGCCAGATGATCCCGCCAGCGCTGCAGCTTCTTGACGGAGATGGACGCTGGCTTCCAATCACGCACAAACGCCACAGGGAGCTGAGAGTAGACCGTGTCCAGACCAGGCGTACTCTGCACGATTGGGATAGCACCTGAGGCGATGGCCATGAAAGCCCTTGGGCTGGGGTCAAGGCCACCGCCGTGAGGGCAAAGGACGAAAGAGTGATTCTGCCACCAAGCAGCAAACTGATTGCTAAACATCTCGCCTCGAAGCTCAGAGAAGTCTCCCCATGGGCCGCCTGGCCTGCAGTTTTTGAGCGCGTTGACCCTGTCGGTGAACTGGCCCCCGGCGGCTTCCTTATGATGCCTGCCATTGCAGCTCAGAGTGAGCGGCCTTTGCGACAGAGGCACCAGCCATCCAGCCTTGATTACCGACCACCACTCCTGACTGCAATCCTGATTTGCTTGTCCTGCAATCTCGCAGTTGGGCGTGTAGAATCCAGTCGGAATCCCAGCGAGCTTTTTGTGGAATCTAGAATCGTCGAAATTCTCTGTCACCCACCGCTCGATCAGAGAATTGTTCAGCAGCCTGGCAAAAGTCTGCAACTCTTCACCTGTGCGATTCTCAAATCTGCAGTCACGCTGCTGTGGAATTGTCCTGTCTTGCGACGTGGTGAGGACCACGACCGGCTGGCTCATCGATGTAGGGAAACACCTCGTAATTGAGTAAGCGGATCATCATTTTCAAGTCCAACCTCAAGTCCAAGAAAACAGTCCTTGGGGGCGAGCGGAGCCTCACGAATTGCAGGGGGAAGCGCGGGCCAGCCATGTTCTGTATAAACAGCCAATCGCACATAGCCGCTATGGATACCAACGGCTTGTCCGGAAAAGCCGACGTGTTCTGATACGATAGCCTCGCGTGAAGCAGTTGCGGCTCTGGTTTAGGATACATCTCTTCAAGCCACGCCTGCACATGTCGGCGCGGTATGTGATTCGTGATCGGGCTGGTGACTGCCGCAGCCGACCTCGTACACCTGATCGTTAAATTCATACCCCATCCACTCACGACGTCGTCGATACGTTTCACGCAAACTCGACTGCCGTACGCAAACACATGGAATTCGTCTGTCGACCTGGGCAAATCTCTGTTGAGCCTTGATCCGTGATGGGCAGCGTCAACGTCACAACTGACTGATGATGTAGCGTTTACACACTTGTTGTTCTCCAAGTTTGTTCCAATGTTGACGACGACTTGGTCGGATGCCATGTCACTGGTGCTGGTCGTGGTGCTGGTCGTGGTGCTGGTACTGGTGCTGGTACTGGTGCTGGTACCGGTGCTGGCTTCAGCCCTGGTAGCGCCCAGCCCCTCATTGACAGTACCGCTGCTCGCCAGTCGCTCAGCGGTCGTGCCTGCTACTGCGGTAGATGCCGCTGGGAACTGCTCCGTCGGAGCTGGCTCTGTCAAGCGGACTCCGTGCGCCAACCTGAACGCGTCGTTCATGATACAAGGAGCAAGACGGACAGAAGAGCCACGCACTTTGGCGCAACCACTGCCAATGTCCCATCCAGGCAGAGGACGCATAAAAAACGGGCCTTGTGCGAGATGGCATGGCGACCTCACGCCGCGGCTTACGCGGGCCGCCAACGCGGCACGCCACATTGGAGACGAGGGCGCTTACGCGCGACGTTACGCGGGCAGCTTACGCGCTAACGTCGGTGAACCCAGACCCCCGACGTCATGATTTTTTCATGATGTCGACCCCCGGAAGGTCCAGACCCATTTCCCGGGTATGTCTTTGCATTATGACTCTTTTTAAGACGGTCCCGAGGCCCGGTACGGGCCCCCAGAGGCCGAAAATAGCGAAAAACCTCCCGTCGTGAT